TTCCTAAGCAAGCTGCTCCCGCTCCACGCGTGGAACGTAGCGGGTGCGGAACATATCCCTGAACTGCTCCTAAGAAATAGCAGCTCTCTGGTCATCGGTGTACGATCCACTCGTCAGTCTCCACCAATCCTTGGCCCCAAGCCTCAGCAGGTTCAGGGCACACCTGACCTTTTGGTCAGTAGGACACGAGCACGTGAAGAAACAACCCTCTACGTCAGATAACCACCTCATAGCCCTGATCGCATCCTGTATACCATCAAACGTCGGGAGCTTCGTGTTATCGAATTCCCGATACTGGAAAGCCTGGCTGGCTCCTCCTCCATCCCCTGCCACTGTTACAGCTGATGTGGTTGTCGCGACAGTCGTCTCTGCTAAGGTTGCATATCGCTCATCGAAGTACTCGACCGTAGCGGTCTTGATCGACCCAAACATCTCTGGTAGTTACGCTCGAAACACAACAACAATCTCATCCTGCAGGATCTCCCGAATCCTGGCATCTTACTCCTCTGTCTGTATCTGCACCACGGGCTCAGGTGCAATAGGCACATTCCAACCTCTGCCCCCTGATCCTGATCCAGTCATAAAGCGTCTCGTCATCACCATACTGGAAATATACCAAAGACGTCAGATAAACAACATAATATTGGGAGACCAATTTCCACAAACACTAGAGGTTGTGACTTCCTTGGTACGCGTATGGGTCCTTTGTTTTTAGTAGTACGGGCCCATACTACCTTCCACACCTACCTATATTTGTCTCAAGTATCACCACAACACCTTAACAATAGACATTAACATAGCAAGCGCTCAACCCTCACTCCTAGAGGAAGGTGAAACTATCTCACAACTGGCCTCACGGCTACTCACGACCCATTCACCCATGAAAATTCCACCAACCCTGCAACATTAGCGTATGTTAGCCCCACATAACACTGGACCCGATAGACTTTCGAATATCCAATCCAACCCTAAGTTCGAATCAACCTTCTCAGGCTATAAGATATTTATTATGCATAGTCGTGATTTATACATTAAACAACTACAATAATGATGTCAATTCCATATAAAAGAAACTCTAGGCTAGTAAGCATCATATAATCAAGCAAGTCTATCATGCAATTCCTGAAGATCCCTAGCCTAGCACTAGCATACTATTCTAACAGATCATAACATCAAATAACTGTATGGTATTTTGGGGTCTACTTACTGGCTCCGGCTGATCGTACACTCTGCATCCTCCATCCCTTATTTTGAAAACCACTTTAAAATTTATTTGAGACTGGAGTCACACGAGTGTTCTTCCAATTCACTCAAACCAAGGCTTTGATACCAACTTGTAACATACAAAAAAATTTTAAGCCAAATTTAAACTTTTTCAACCATGAAACCAAATAGTGTTTTACAAAAATGTTTTCAAAATATTATTCATCAGAGTGTCCCAGAAATATAGTCACATGGATGAGGAGCAGTACGGTCAAGCCTTCGCCTTGCCATGATCTCTTGAAGTACCTGAAACAATAAACTGAAACTGTAAGCCCGAGGGCTTAGTGAGCTACCCCCAAAATACCAATACCACACTGATAATACCATATCAATAACATATAATCAACAACATGTATACTGGGCCTTCGGCCTGACTGGACCGCCCTGCAGGGCCTATAATCTATCTGGATCTACCTTGAGCCTTCGGTACGACTGGACCGCCATACAGGCGTACAGTCTATCCGGACCGCTCATAGGGTATGTTGGCCTTCAACACAAAGCAGGACCGCCTCAACCCAAACATCAAAAAAATAACCATGTGCACATAACTAACATATACTATCATTAACATATACCAGATATAACTATATCAAAGATCATCGATCATGGTAATTTCTCATAACCAGAGCACCGACCTAACCAGGTCACTAACATACTAATTCTAATGGATCATAAGAGCATAACAACATAGTGTCTATCCTGACACCGATATAACTGATCATAACCACATGTAGCATACTATAACCAAAATAACAACTAAAAGGGTCGACCTTGGTGCCTTAGACCCTATTGATATAGTGAGGATAACTCACCTTGCTAGTAGCTTGGATTGATACTGCTCACACCTCCAGATATAGATCCACCCACCTCACCTATACCCATGAGTGGTCCACTCAAATCACTTAAAATACCAAAATACCCTTGGGAGGTACATGACATCCCACAGTCAAGTCAAGTCATTGGTCAATGGTCAACAGTCCATGTTGACCTATTTGCTGAATATATAACTCTCTCTGCCTCGAGTCCCTCCTGATTCCAGAATTTCTCAGCTCGACTCGTTGAGTCTCCATCAGACTCGTCGAGTCGATACACGACCTAGTGCATGGAATCCAAACTGACTCGCTGGGTCATCTCCTAGACCTCGCCGAGTCCATGCGGGACTAATTTCGACAAAACCCTACCCGACTTGTCGAGTCATCTCCCAGACTCGCCGAGTCCATACACATACTCTCATGATCATGCGATTCTGAACTATCCCTT